AGCAACAGCAGCAGCAGCAGCAGCAGCAGCAGCTTCACTGCTGCTGCTGCTGCTGCTGCTGCTATATAATAGAAAAAAGAAACGAAGCTGTTGTTTAGTTTGTCTCCTTTTTAGATATTATAATACCGGCAAGGAGAAGCAAAAAGGAGACAGAAAGAGAGACAGAAAAGGAGACAAAAAAGAAAAAGATAAATAGATACACAGAAAGATAGAGAAAATGCAAAAGACAACTGAGATACAAAAGGAGACAAAACAAAAGGAGACAAAACAAAAAGAGAAAAAGAAAAAGGAGACAGGAGGAGCACTGTCTCCTTCTGTCTCCTTTTGCTGCTCTACAGACACGGGGACTTCGAGTCGGAGGCCCGACATCAGCAGCAGCAGCAGCAGCAGCAGCAGCAGCAGCAGCAACAGCAGTCGTTGTTGCTGCTGTTGCTGTTGCTAAAGAGCAGCACGAGCCATTGCTGCTGCAGCAAGAGCTGCTGCTGCAGCAAGAGCTGCGCTGCTGCTGCTGCTGCTGCTGCTGCTGCTGCTGCAGCTTCTGTGCTTATTGGGGGTTATTTCTTTACCTTCGACAGTCGCCTCAAATTCATTGTATTTCACCTCGCTAGCAGCTGCATGTACACCCCAGATATACCCAGCTGCATATACACCCCAGAGATAGCCAGCTGCATATACACCCCAGCTATAGCCAGCTGTATGTACACCCCAGATATACCCAGCTGCATGTACACCCCAGATATACCCAGCTGCATATACACCCCAGAGATAGCCAGCTGTAGATACACCCCAGATATACCCAGATGCATATACACCCCAGATATATCCAGCTGTATATACACCTCAGATATATCCAGCTGTATATACACATATAGCCAGCTGTAGATACACCACAGTTGAGTTGGGGTGTATGTACACCTCATAGAGCCAGCGGTATATACACCGCAGATATCACGAGCTGTACATACACCGCATATATAACCAGGTGTACATACACCGCAGATGTAACCAGGTGTATATACACCGCATATATAACCAGCTGCGTATACACCGCAGATATAACCAGGTGTACATACACCGCAGATATAACCAGCTGCGTATAAACCGCAGATATAACCAGCTGCGTATACACCGCAGATATAACCAGGTGTACATACACCGCAGAGTAAGCTAGGCTTCGATGGAGGTGCCGATACACCTCAAATTAGAGGGTAGGAGTCTCCTCCCTGTTGACGTTGTGATCGATGCATTTGATAGTTTGCTGCTGCTCGTGCTGCTGCTGCTGCTGCTGCTGCTGTTGCTGCTGCTGCTGCTGTTGCTGCTGTTGCTGCGGAGAGTGTTTGCCTCGATGCCAACTGACTAAACCCTAAACCCTAAACCCTAAACAACCATTAGAAACAAACGATCCGCCTTGTGCGGTGTATCTGCATGCATCTCCCGAGGGTTTGCTGCTGCTGCTGCTGCTGCTGCTGCTGCTGCTGCTGCTGCTGCAGCTCTATAGCTGCTGCAGCAGTTACGACCCCAAGAGGAGACAGAGGAGACAGAGGAGACAGTCTCCTGTCTCTGCTGTCTCCTTCATGTGTCTCCTTTTGATATCTCCTGTCTCGATTGTCTTTTTTTTTAATTAAGAGACTGTGGGGTTTGTCTCTGACCCTAACTGTCTCCTTATGATTCTCGCTGTCTCCTTGGTGAGGGTTTAGGGTTTAGGGTTTAGGGTTTAGGGTTTTCTTTTGTGTGTGTTGGTTTGATTTGTGTTGTTACTGCAGTACAAATATATATATTTATTTTTCTATTAAAACAGAATAAATATCTAGGGTTTAGGGTTTAGGGTTTAGCTGCTTATTTGGCTTAAGTATGGGCTCAAGCATTGACGCTTACAAATATCTATTAGGGTTTAGGGTTTAGGGTTTAGGGTTTAGGGTTTAGGGTTTAGGGTTTGCCCGCGGAGACACTTTGTAAGACAAACAAAACGAAAGGAGACAGTTCTCGCTGCTGTCTCCTCAGGGGGCCCTTCTATGCCTACCCTTCACCGTCAACCCGAAACAAA